TGGTGAACTTTGGCAATGTTTTCGTCGGTAGTTGCAGTTTTTGGACGTCCCCAATACCTATCGTCTCCCAAGCTCTTACGGCCACGTTTAAATTTAGCTGCCAAAAATTTCATTTAGATAAATGATGGTGCAGAGTCCGCATGCACAGAATCCAACTCATTTTTGATTTGCGTAGGCGTATTTCCTTTCAAAAACAAATCTTTCATGACAGCTCGATACTCGATTTTGTTCATTTTCATAAAAAAACTCACATCAACTCACTCAAACGACTGTTACATAACAACTGCGCATCCAAAATGGCTGGAACTTTCTTTAGTAACTGTCAACAGATGAACAACGAAATTCACTAGTTTTTTATTTACGAGTGCTGATATCTTCATATTGAGGTATGAAACTTTCAGACCAGACATACTAATTTTACAGGGTGGAGAAAGGAAGAGATAGGAGGAAGAAGATAGTACTTCTAATAATGGTTATTCCTTATTCAAGTATCATTACATGCTCTCTGTTGATATGAAAATTTCCTATTCCATTTCTAGTGGAGTGTGTAGGAATGCTACTTGTGAAGGTTGCTGACTCAGATAATTTGGCAACATATTGTGTTTAATTTAAAATATAAATATTAGCATATTCAGTATTAATCCTTTGTTTAGCAGACATAAGAGACAGTGTTTCCAACATGTATTTCACAGATATGCCGTGAGTTTATTCCACATGAACGCAGTTCTCCAAATGAAAGAGTTCTTAAACAGTGAAGTTCAAGGTGTACTGAGTTGAACCTAAAAACTATCAGCAGCCACAGCCCGTTGCGATTTCTGATATGTACTGCTCTTGGTGGAATCAAATGTGCCAAGTCATTTGAACGCTTCCCGTAAAAGTATCTATAGAAAAATCCCCCAACCTTTCTTCAATGTTCCAGACTAGCAAGATTGCAAGTGATGTTTGCATCTCCAATCAGGCAGATGGCTCTTTTCTGGATGGAATCCAGCAGCTTCGGGGTATGCTTAAGGGCGGAGCTCCATACATGATAAAAATACTCCAAGGAAGGTCTGATTCGAGCTTTATGAAGCATCAAAAGTTGCTGACGTGTGTACACTTTTCTGGTTCAGAACAGTGTTCCAAGGTTTTGCGAAGCAGCCTATGCAATTCTAGTGTTATGATTGTTTCAAGACATATTGTTGTCCATTTCAACCCCCAACAAACTTATCGAAGCAGGAAGCGGAATTGTCTGTCCTGACATTATTATATCCGGTTCGGAGACATTTATTTATCTTTTTGGAGAAAACTGATGCCTGGGTTTTTGTGGCATTGAATTGAACGTGGTTAGTTTCACCCTAATTCGAAATCACTTCTAGATCCTCATTAAGATATGCAACCTCCTGCTGCCGGTGAACATGTGCATTCGCAGCCGACGTCCTGGAATCCAAATGGAATGACGAGACAAAGTATGCTGTGGTCAGCAAAGTAATATACTAGATTCTTCGTTTTTTTTCAAAAAGTCGTTGATATACAATAAAAAGAGGGTTGGAGACAATATGGATCCCTGCAGCGTTGATGGTAAGTTTGTGAAGAGCAAATCGTTGAGGTGTAGTTTTTGAAATTGATGGTAAGTATTCGAGAGATATCCATCGACGGCCACTTGCAGGAAACGTTTTTTCAGAAAGCTGGAGCCATAGCATCAAAGTTTGGCCAGCAAACGGGTATAGAACTATCCTTTTCTGTACAACTTATGGGCGGGGAGGTTATGGAGGCCAGTTTTTCTACCACCTACTAGATTTTTATTTATGTATGGCTTGATAATAAAGCGCGTGGTTTACTGGGTTGAAATCAAATTATTTCCAATGAACTATGTTCTTCGTTTGATCTTCGTCTTGATGATTATCACTCGGTGATCGAAACACGTGTCGAGGTGTTAAAATAACGTTTTGGTGTTGGAAAAACACTCCAGTAATATTCATAACTACCCCAAAGGTTCCAAACAGTGCATAATAAGTCAATCAAGATATGTCAGCAAACATCAACTTAAGTACTTGTTTTTTTTTTTTGATAACCTCACCTATTCATTTCTAAGAGATAATAATAGTATTGGCAATATCAATCATCAAGGATCAGCTGATGACTGAAATTAATAAAAATATTGACTATTGGTACCATCTGGGGGCAATGTCAGAACTACCCCATTTGGTCTGCAACAATTTCTGAAACGAAAGCACATCCCAGCATCCACTTGTGTATAGTCATACATTTATGCAAGATACCTCACAGATAATAGTCTTGCAGATGCTTTCAAATGTGTATGTAAATATCGTTATGTTCAATACTAACAATATTAGCAATAGAAAAAACATGAACATAGCTCTTAAACAAATCTTTCCAATTAGTAAATTAACGAACCTTCTGATATTAACTGAAAAAAAATCAACCTCTAGATCAAAAGCTGATAAGCTCTCTAAAAAATAAAATAGGAAATTCAGAAAAAATAACATTAATATTTCTCTTCAATTCTTAATAGATGGACAAAAAATAGGAAGCAAAATGAAGATGCTAGGATTGATTAAAGATTATTTTTTTAATCATAGACGTAACATTGTTCTTAAGACAGTATTGATTGATGTTCAGGTTTTTTCTGATGCTAATAAAGAAAGTCATTTCACAGAAACTGTTTGCTCTATACGAACTGATTCTTTTTTAGAGTCACACCGGATGAATGTTGTTCTTTTGGTTGGAACGTGAAAATCAACTAACGATAATAAATGAGGTGAGTTTAGTCTATTATTAAGCAGCCGGTGGAGAAATGATATTACACATATTTCGCGCCTATTTTGGAGAGCCAGTATCTTAAAGTCATTCCTCAAATGAGATGTTCTCAGTATTACAATAAATAGCTATAAGGAACAAAATGGTCATGTGATACTAACTGAATGAGAATTGAACTAAAATATCTTAAAAATCATCAAAAAACTTCGTTGTAGGCCTATAGCAAAACTTATACTTAGAGAAAAGGCAACAACTTCTGATATTAAATATAAAGAGAAAACAAAACTTTTAGTCTCAATATGTGAGCGTGATCATGGTGGCATACGTTCAGGCGTCGACTCTGGAGGCAGACTTTAGGAGATAAATTTCCACAGTGGTAGACTTAGTGCCCCGATGGTTTAGAAGCCTATTGAAAAAGTAATGAGTATGCTAATATATCCATTTGGCTTCCTGTGGAAGCGACATCCCCGATCGTTTCGTTGTTGTGCCAAGTCTCTCCCAAAATTGTTGATAAAAATGAAGAAGTACAGCTAATCGCCAAGGAAAGACTCAAATCTACAAAAGAGATTTGGAGTTCAGCTTTAATGAAAACTGAAATCCTTCCAGTAAGTTTAAATAATCATATGAATGATAAGTTTCAAAGGAAATATCTGACTAGATCAATCTTGTTATTTCATTAAAATTGGAGAAAAGCCCCAAAGAATGAACAACACTCCAAGTGAACACATGCATACCTTTCCGAGTGGATTTATGACACAGGTAAATCTGTATAATGGTCCCCAAGAGAAATCATTAATCTTAGTTATTATTTTCATGTAACAACAGTAATATTTTAATGATGTCAGAAAGTGTTTACTTTGATTTTTTGTGATATTGATGACTTATTTATTTTGTGGAAATTCATCTTCTATTAGATATATGAATAAAATACTTTAGGTAATATTACGGCATCAACAACAAAGTTTATTTGTTCATGTGACTCAAACCTTAAATGGAGAGAGATATGATTCCGAGACAATCCTAGTGTTTGAAAACACCTTTTGGAAATAAGATTGGCTTGACTATCGAGGAGTGCTCCTACTTTTTGATTAGCATCGAGTATCTTGATTTGAGCAGTAGATAGCAAATTAATACAATTGGAGGAAACCAAATTAGTAGAGAGCTGTGCCAAGTAAGGGTACCCGCCTGCGGCACCAAGGGTAAGAATGAATCGGCGGTAACCCTTACAAAAGGCAACTAAAAACGAGGCATAATCTAGTGGTGTTATGTGACCCATGCCGAAGGATCAATGATACCTGTGCTTTACTAGGTATAACTAACGGAGCCCCTGAAATACCAGGCGACCTCCCAGATTAGTTAGCCATGCATCCATGCAGGATATGGACAATCCTTTCCCACATACTCATGGGGAAAGAGAAATGATTGATCTGGAGACTCAAGTAGACCAGCAAAGTGAAACACAAACGGCGGGCGACAGAACTGTCGAAACCATAGTTGCAGGACTGGCAAGTATCGCACTGCAACACAAAAGTCTGTCAGACGCGCAGTTTCGCAAACTGACGAAAGCGAGGAAAACAGCACAGCAAATACTCTAGGTACTAGGTACTAATACCAACGAAGGAGATGAGCATTTACTAGTTCATTGTAAGAAATGACTCAAGACAATCTGAAAGTAAGAAATAAACCTACACAAGACGTAGGGAAGTAAACCCAAGAAACCCAAGTACTTGCCAGACTCTAAATGATACTCTCAAAAGAACCTCAGGTCACGATAAAAAACTTAAGGACAAATACCGGGGGTATACAAAAAAAGAAGAGCCGATAAGAAAACGGCTTTATGCTGGGTAACAGAAAAAGCAAAATAAGCTTAATAATAATAATGATTATCATCTATTCATAAATGAATTGAAAAAACAAGTAAATTGCATAAAAAAGTACAATATAATGAAATTGAATAACAACCTTTTTCATATCAAACAAAAGTAATTTTTTATGGAGGAAAAATCGTGTTTTTCTGTGCACATAATTCTTATTATGAAATTGATTAGTATTGAGAGATTGGTCTTTATCATTAGTAACGGAGCATTTGTCAATGTTGTTTAACATTCAACTCTTATATTTGTGAATTAATGAACCCTCTAATAGTTCTGGCATAAAAAATATTTTTTGGATGTACTCACTTTTTTTTATCGCCTTTTTCTTGTAGCTTACGATCAACAGGAGGATTATTATTTGTACTAACTTTATCAGGTGTTGAACATGAGTTTTGCTTACTTCTAGCTGAATCCATAGGAGATTTGGAAATTCTGAAACTTCTTGAATTTTTAGAGTTATCCTTTGCTTTAGTCTTTGATTCCATATTATTGAATTCCGTTACCAGGTCAGCAAGTAATCCCTTCTGTCCACCTCTGAAAATAACATTTTGATAACACAGTAGTTTGACAAATAACTTACAATCACTTCATAAAATTCAAAGTATACATATAAATAAATAAGAGAGATGACATTCTGCTTTCGGAGACGCCATCTATGGGATTGATAGAAAACTTAACCTTGGAATATCAAAAATAAACGGGACTGCTTCAAAGCAGTCAGTTGCAAAGATTTGTATCGACCACCGACTAGATTCGTTCTCTGTCTTTCACTGTAAGGAAACTAATCCCCAGATAGTTTCGATGAGGAGCTCCATACATGAGAACAGTACTCTAAAGAACGTCTGATCTGAGCTTTATAAACCATCAAAGTTTCTGAGGTGTGTACAGTTTTCTGGTTCGGAACAGCATTCCAAGCTTTTGAGAAGCAGCCTTTGCAATTCCAGACAAGACGTATTGGTGTCCATTTTAACCCCCAACAAACTTATCAAAGTAGAAAGCAGAATTGTCCGTCCTGGCAATATTGTATCCGGTTCGGAGACATTTATCTATTTTGAGAAAACCGATGGCTGAGTTTTCGTGGCATTAGTTGAACCTGGTTACTTTCACACCAATTCGAAATCACCTATAGATCCTCATTATGATATGCAAGCCCTGTTGCAGAACGTAATTGCCAGATATGGAGTAGCCCAGGAAATACACTGAGATCAGAGCCGCAACTTTAAATCGGATTTATGGATGGAAATACTGATTTTGTTATAAATACAGAAGACAAGAACAACTGTTCTTCATCCACAGTCCGATGGAATGATATAGAGGCATAATCGCACCATAAATAACTACCTCTCGATGTTTGTCTCTTAAAACCAAAGACACTGGGATAATTTCAAAAACTCACGATTTGATTGTGAGGTGTACTTTATGAAATTACAATGAATCGTCATCAAGTAAAGACCAAATCAATCAGAAAAAAAAACTGGGATAAATTGGTCTCTCTTTCTGTTGGCATACAGGAGTTCTCAACATGACGCGATAGGTTAGACCCTCCACGTTGTTAACTGATAGGGAACTGAACCTTCCGATAGATGTATTCTGTAGCAGTACATCCAATGAATCTCGAGAATGTGTATGACCTGAAGAAGAGAATGGAAATTGTACTCGAATTTGCCAGAACCAAATTAAAGCTTTCCAGTGACAGGATGAAGATAAGATTTGACAAAAAGTCGCTGCTGGTGAGCTTCAAGGAGGGTTTGTGTCCCAAATTGCAGAGATCATGGCACGAATCTTACTTGGTAACAAAAAAAATTAACAATGTGGTGTACGTAATCCAATCGTCACCCAGAAGCAAGTCTAAAATTGTCCACATAGAGAGACTGAGTCCATACATGGGTCGTGATGTCTCCTCTTGGAATGTTATTCGGGCGAACAACCCCCGGGAGTGGAGTAGTGTTGTAAATCACGCCCCAAAGAAAATAACGCCGGCCGCCACTGTTAGCCATTAACCAATTGTGACGTGGCAAAGAGCGCTTTCAGTCCGACTGACATTTCGCGAATGTTCGATATTCGCAGCCATTCTAGACGTGGTGAGAATAATGATACCGGCTTCGATAGAATTCCGAAGAATTTTCTACCTTCCTCGATTGGCAAATATAAACGCGATCCACTCGCCTATCGATATAGTCAAGTTTGGCGAATAGTGCGGTGCAAAGCGATCTTATAAGGCGATAGACATTTGAATAGTTGAAGTTTAAGTTAAAGTGTTTTGGTATATAAATAGTGAAATGAAGTTGATTTTGACTATTATTCAGTGTAGTCAATTATTGGTAAACCCACAGGGAAAACGTAACAATAAAATATTTTTCTCCTCAACGAGTGAGGTAAAAATAGCATACAACATTTAAAATATAAACAAAAGAGAGTGTATAACTGACTTGTTAAGAGCAAATGCTCTTAATTTCATATTATGCACATGTAAATAGATAGATTTTGCCCTAATTAATGTAATTTTATTCAATATGTAAAGGCTTCAATATGGTGTAAATAGTATATTCAGAGAGAATATAATAGATTGTGTCATATTTTAGAGTCTTAACATCAATATTAGATCATGCCGAATTAAAGTTGGTATTTCGAAAAAAATTTCAATCTGTCTAGATCAATTGTATTTCATTTCAGCACTTGTTACTTCTAGATGTGAAGCAGATTTTTAGCAGTTGATTATTTTCCATCTAGTATATTTTGATGAGCTAGTTAACTGTTCTGGAGTATTATCACAAGGAAATACTCTATTCAGAAAATTCATTTGTACTCGTTGAACTACCTTGGTATATCTAGCTTCCCAAACTGGTATGCAGTTAGTCATAATACGTAGTACTAGTGAGCCAAGAAGTTTCATATTTGATGTCCAGTTGCTCTTTATAGTTTATCTCATTAGAGAGATGGCAAATCCAATATCATGCTTACTTTTTTCTGGAAATGTGCAAGACATTTTGTTGAATAGGAATGAAGAATCTTATGATTTTCTTATAGATTCAGTTGGCTTCAAAAAAATAATTTGTTTCCTTACAGTAATTATTTCTCTTGCAGAGTTTAAAAGTATTTTTAACGTATTGTTTTACCTTGATGCATTTGGTGTGGAAGTCTTCAATGAGTGTGGGGTGCAAGATTCAGTTTAATAACTATATCTTCGATTGCTAAGTGAAGATAACTGCAAGAGTTTACTATGTTTTGACCGCATTGAATTTTTTGAAGTTTTGCATCTCTGATACATATGTGAATTTTTCATAGCCATCCCATTTGTCGGTCGAGTTTGGTTCTTTATGGAACCAATCCGGCACAACTGGTTCTATTTGAGTCTCCAGCATCTGAAACTCTCTTCCTTTAGTGACTCTGTGCATTGTTGTTTATACAACTGTTTCGCAGCGTTAAAAGTTTGCAAACGATTTTTGAAACCGTGTTTGAGCTAAAACTGATGAATTTTTGGATTCCTGAGTGTGCGGGTAGATTATATTCTATCGAATCAGTGACAATAACCATCAAACCCAATGATTTACTTTCCAAAATTCTACTTCAACATTCAGTTTTTGTGTCATTGAGATTAGTGATAATATGGAAAATTTAAGTTTTTTAGACCTCAATACATCCTAGCGTTTGGGAAAGAAATAAAATATGAAAGCAAAAATTATTCTAAGAATGGACAATGAATTCTGCTGGAAGAGAATAACTAAGATTCAACTTACAATTCCGATTTTCTTTTGGTTTCCTTACACATTTCTTTCCAAACATTCATAAGACCAGGAACAGTGCAACTAATACCTTGGTCTTGCATTTTTTGGCAAATCAAAGACCAGATTTCTTGTTGGTAGAAATCACTTTTCAATGGATATCCATGACTCAACATGAGCCTAGCCAAAATTATTTTATCTTTTAGGGATGAGCTGAAAAAACATAAAGAGGTGAAATATTCACAATAAAAAAAACAGACTCACCCTACAGATGAAATCTTTTTCATATTTTCAGAATTTGCCGAATTAAATAATGTTCCAGTTCTATTTTGAACACATTCCAAATTAGCCTCACTAACTGAAGAACTCATTTTTATATTTTCACCATTATTTGTAGAGGAATAAAAGTTATGAGTACTAGTCGAAGGTGCCTGAGTATACTTTAGTTTGAGAGCCATATGACGTCTCATTTTCTCTTCAACCTCATAACAATTTTTGTTGAACTGATCAAGTTTTTCCAGAACATTGTAACACACCAAACAAACTCTTAACGGCACTATTTCCTGGAAATGGATTCTTCCTCATTAAAATGTAGTACAAAAAAAAATTGTTTGTGTTAATACTAAAATCAGTACCTCTGCTTTTTCAATTAACACCTTATGATTGATTACTTCGTACAATGTTTATATTATAACAAATATATAGGGCGTTCCAACGAAAACTTGACCCCCTTGTAAGTCAGAAACGGATATGTAATCGAAAATTTCAAAGAACACGTCAATTTTTATTTCTAGAGGGACTAATTCTAATATGGAAATCATACCCGAAACATCACCCCCCTACGGTCAGCAACTACCACTCCTATTTTTTTCAATGGCGTGTGGGGTTGAGTGATACATCATTTGAAAGGTCTTTTGTTCCTCTATTTTCAATCGGTCGGTGCTCTGTTCACTCACTCGAATTGACCGCCGTGTCAGTCAGTGGTTCAAGCCCCAGGCTGAACAATCGATTTTCACTTGCTATCGTCCAACTCGTGTTAGGAATCACACGTTAAAAGGTAAGACCTCGTTAATCCTCAGCTCGCACAAGTTTCGACTTCTGAGGGTTGTCGTTCGTAGGGGTGCGACAGCTGGTTACCGGAAAAACAGATTACCTCTGAAATTAGGTTTGGGTTATTAGTCAATTTCTCGCTGAACACCTCACAAAATCTAAGTCGACGACCAGGATCATCTTTGTTCAATTCCTGAACTAGCCTTATTTTGAAAGGATGGAATTTGTAGGCTTTCAAAATCCGAAAAACACTAGCAGCTGATACACCAGACTCTCTAGCTACATGTCTGATAGATTGTCGATTATCCATTTGTACATATTCAAAAACTGCAACTTCAACTCCGCGTCATTCCTGACAGAACGGGATACTTCATGTTTTCTGTTGTGAAGAGAACCTGAAGTTCAAAACGTATTCATTAACTGTTCAACATATTGATGACTCACGTTGTGGTGTGGATGATTCGTATTATAAATTCTTGCAGCAGCTTTAGCACATTCATTATTTCGATAATATGGTTACAACTATTTCTATTCTTTCTTTGGTAATATAAACCATGTTGGAACACAGTGAACAAGAATGACTGAATAATAATTCGTGAAGAAGTGACAGTGACCAACTAACTACTTTTTGTTCTGCAACAACTAGATTCAACCAAAACTACCAGTACAGCAAAAACTAACAGTGTTGTCCGTTTCAAAATGTTTACTACTAATTAAATAAATTTTCCAAATCTAGAAGACCTGCGAAAGAGAATTGTTCGGGAATGCCGATTTCTGAATCCGAACATCTTCAATTAAGGAACGCTTTTGAAAGTAGAATGTATTATTGTATGGAACTATATAAAAGTCATTTTGAACACTTTATCCGTTGATTGTGTTGCCATTGATATTACTTTTGTTGATTTCCTCAATAAAATGAGCGACACCGAATTTTCAGTTTTTTCTTAAATTTCTCAATAACGAATGAACCAATTTCGAAAAAAAATATAGAAGTAATAGAGGGACAAAAGACGTTTCAAATGATGTATCACTCAACCCCCCATGCTATTGAAAAAATAGGAGGGCAGTAGCTGACCGCAGGGGGGTGAAGTTTCAGGTATGATTTCCATATCAGAATTAGTCCCCCTAGAAATAAAAATTGACGTGTTCTTTGAAATTTTCAATTACACGTTCGTTTCGGACTTACAGGGGGGTCAAGTTTTCGTTCGAACCCCCTGTATACACATAATATTTTAAATTAATAATTCTTATTCATAATCATTATAGTCCTGTGTGTATGTAATTACCACTTGTATGATGTACTATCAGACATGGTCAAATAAATATTACCACTACTACTATAACTCATTTCCTGAAAGGGAGGTGTAAAATTTCATATCTTTTCAAACTATAATCATTTACTTGTAAGAGATAATTAAAAACAAAATATTATTTAAATGGGCCCTGGGCCGTCCACGGTTCGGATTTTCTTGTCTTTTAAAAAAATTAAAAAATGACATTTACAATAATTTTTAAACTTCAAATTAGATAATGAAATAAATATTCTGACAGCACAATGAAAGTTTTTGCAGCAAATACTTCCATTAATTCTGTGAATTAATAAGATATAGCCAAAAAGATAATTTCGAGTTTTTATTGTTTTTCTCATATCTCCAGAACCCCAAAAGGGCTTGAGTTGATTCAATAAAGGGCAAGAACAGTTGTTGACAAGTTTCCTGTCAATAATTCAACTTCGTCTTTTGTTATCAGGCTAAAGACGTTCATTATTTTTGACTGACTATCTTATTCTCTATAACGTATCCTCTAATGACATACATATTTCATTTCTAACCTTGAAGATATTGGATAAATATAAAAATCTTACTTTGAGTTCATCGCTTGTCAAAATAAAAGGAAATACATTTCTGCAAAAAAAATAGGAACGTCTATTACGTTAAGATTTCAGCCTCTAAGGATTAGTGATATTGACATATAATTACAATGAAAACTTGAAATAAAATGAACTCATGAATTCTTTTGAAAAGAGTAGAATAAAGCCTACTCGTACAGTATTTGAGGTATTAATTTTAGAAATTCAGAATGCCACTAATATTTCAGTGGATCACGCATTGTGCTGCCTAACTTCAATGATAGTTTAGTAACTAATAACAAAACTTATTCTGTCGTTGAGACATTTTTAAAGGAAAGATCCCAGTTTGTCGCTGTTGGTGAGAGCATGAGTGAGCATGAGACCCCTGTTGTATACACTGATGGTACTGTCACTGAGGCGGGCCGGGCTTAAGGGAAGGTATTTCACGTTCGCCAATGACACGGTCCTTCTGTAGATTGGATATGATTTACATTTACTGGAGAACACACTTGATGAAGATCTCTCTAAATACTCAAATTGGCATGCACATAATAAACTTAAGGTGAACTCTGCAAAAACCGTTTACATGCTATTTAAACAAAAAAATAGAATTTGTGGAAATATTGAATTAAGAATAAATAACTTAGCCTTAATGAATGTTACAAAAATCAAGTATTTGGGACTCATAATAGATGATAAGTTAAATTGGTCAGGACACATAGAACATATTAATGATAAAATTGTACCAATGTTAGGAGCTCTATATAGGTGTTCCAGTTACTTGAGTTTCAGTAATAGACACTTGGTTTACAATGCATATATATATTGGCGACTCTTAGGTATCTGTTAATCATATGGGGTAATTGTGGCATTACTAATTTCAAAAAAAATTCAAACGCTACAAAATAAATCAATAAAAATTTTATTTCAAATTCCATTTCGAACCCATACAAATGATTTATTCTCACACAGAACTATACCTAATTAAATATCTACTTAAACTTGAGCAATAAGAACATATATAAAATAAAAAACAAAAGAAATCAAAAGCAACAACGATCTACTAGTCAACAACCAGTTTTATGAGTATAATTAATACAAGGGGTAGAAATGACTTACACCTGAGCATGGTAAGAACGAATAAAGGATTACAATCCTTTTATACAGGCTATAACAGTCTTCAATGAATTACCTGTTTGTATACGTGAGTTGCCGGGCTATAATTCATTCATCAATAGTTTAAAAGAACATCTGAGCCTCGAGGCACATGTCTGATGAGTTACTATTATGAGCTTTGTAGTGGTTTACTAGTTTTTGTGTTTCACTTGTCATGTTGAATGTTTGTGAATCCCGAGACCAGCATTTTTGCTGATTAGGGAGAATTACAACATATTTTATATTCATAGTGTCTTAACTATGTTGAACTGTACGCTGTTGTTATATTTTTAATTGAAAAAAAACTCTGTTGGGTGTTGCTGTCATACTTTGATCATATTATATTAGTAAATTAATGAAAAATAATTGTGTTGGGAGATGCCCAAACACTTGTAAACATTACATTCAAATTATCAAAGCAAGTCAGAATGAAGTATAATTAATTTGTAGGAACTACCTCACAGTACTCACCGAAGAAGGGCAGTCACTCTCAAACATTTTTTTTAATAAAGAACCCATGCTAGACTGAGGAGACAGGGTCATAAAATTGGTTCCAGAAGTTTGTATGCAAGAACGACATAGAACCTTCTTTCCATAATTTTCCCAGGACATATCACCTTTCAGATCTCTTTCCACTTCCATGCAGGTTATTTTAAATATGAAAAATAGCCAGATTTTATGAAAACAATCATCACATAGGAGTGGACATGGCTCTCTAGGTATTTTCTGAAAAATAACAATATTTGTTCTGTAGTTGCGACAAAGATATCAACTAGGTAGTTAATGAATTTTACCGGAGTTTTGTCCCAACACCAAACCGTTATTTCAATACCTCGACACCTTGTTATCAGATATACCTGACTAGTAGATAAGGCAACATTGTAAAATTAATTTTAAGACAATTAAGGCGCAAGTACCTAGCAGAGGTATCTATGGTATAAATAAGGACAACATTGTATGTAGATTTAGTTTATTATTCTTCTTGAAGATGATCATTTCGTAATTGAAACAAGTGTTGAGGTGTTAAAAATATCGGTTTGGTGTTGGGATAAAACTCCAGTAATATTCATTGCGACATCAAAGGTTCCAAACAGTACATTACAAGTAGGTAGTTAATATAATGATTAAAGCATCAAGTCTAGAATCTATATAAATTAACTTACTAAAAAAAAATATTTGACTAATGAACAATCAGTGAAACTAAAAACAAGTTTCTCAAACTCGTAGAACCTGATAATGAGATATTTAATTTTTGACAATTGACAACTCAGGTTATATTCAGTGTATAAATAACTCACAATCTAGATTCATTTGAAATATGTTTTCAAGGAATAATTGGAATCAGTCGTTTCAAAAACGACACTTGTCCATAACCTTGAACTTGTGGAAAAACAGAAAAATGTTTCATAATCTTCCAACTTTTGTTAACAAGAACATTTTATGAGGTTTTCAATGCTTCCCTGAGTGGAGACAAGAGGATATCTCAAACAAATAATTCAATTTCAAATGGTATAAGTTTATTCGAAAGGAATCGAAGATAACGAATGTATTTGAATTTTTGTTAATCTGTTGAAAATTTCATGGAAATTTTATTCGTTATGAAAGTTATCAACACTTTTGTTCATTTCATCAATTTTGGTAACTGAGGTGCGAGTTAATTTTTTTTTGATAGTAAGACATCTTCAATATTCAAATGTTAATATTATATATCTCCGTGTTATACCTTCAGTACTATTTTCTTGTAATTGGGAATTTGAATAAAACTCATCCAAAGTATTAGGAAACTAATCTATTATGTGAGCTACATATTTCAACGTTTTTTTATCACAATCATAATTCTCAGGTTACTAAAGATTGCATTTCTCTTTACAACATAATCAAATATTCCTCATAAAATAAAACATGTCTACTTACCAATCCAGGCATACATAATGTGAATATGTGGTATAAAGTTTCCGGTTGGCTGCTTATATAAAAACTTAAATTATCCTAAAATCAAAAGTTTCGAGTTAATTACAGATAATTTGAAATCAACAGTCAATCAATGGGAAAGAAATTGATCAATGCATTATAAGATGTCCAATATAAAAATTTCTATATTTCATTCCCAATAAAATAATAATGCCACCTTTATTGTAGAATCAGAAAATTTCTCAGTTAACTTTTTCAGTGACGACTTGCTGAAGATGAGGGCAAGGGAAGAAAGAAATGTTGTCCTTATTTTTTTAACATAACTGGCACTTCAATTTACACATACACGACAGAACCAACATGATTATTAGTGACTAAAGCCTTCATTCAAATTTTCACTACATCTACAATTTTGCATGCAACATGAATGAATGGTACAGTATCAACAGCAATATAAAAACCCAATTTACTTGATCAACAAATTATATCCAACTCTAAAGTTCATTCTCAAACAAAACTCCCAACTACATTTTGGCTAAGCTAAACATCAAGAAAACTTCTGTTTATGATATACCAGTTATGGTACTTTTTCTTGTTTGACAACTGTTCAAATTCAGCCTATAATAAAAAAAATAGGAATCTTTCAAATTACCACAGAAAAAGTTGCGTTAACATACTCTCAAATATTTGAAATTTTGTAACATCCAAGCAACATATTATAAGTGGCCATTGACAAAAAAAAGATTTGAATTATTATGAAGATCTGTTAAAATTTCAGTTTAGGGTGGTGGTATCAGATAGATATAGACAGATTTATTTGATCATGTGTAAATTTGATTTATGACAACTCAGAGAAACAGATGAGTACAAGGTACAATGTTGTGTATAACTAAACAAACAGTAAAATTTGTAGCGGTACAACATCTAGAACACGAAAATCTTGAAATCATTCTGTATATGTACAGTTCATGTAATCTTTCAAATTATAAAAACCCTCCTCTTGAATACATTCATGCTTCATAACACTAGAGATCAGAAGGCAAAATATTGTAGAGTTTAATATCCAGTGAATTGCACACTGACATTTCTATTTTGACCTGGGGTTGTATCAGTTTTTGTGCATGTCTGGTAGTGTAATTGTGATAGTCTGAATGAATTTTACAAAAAATTTATTATTATTATTTACAAAAAGTGGTTGGCAATGTTTATTAAGTGGCACACCTGCTATAATCCGGAGAACTTTTTTGCAGACGGAATGCTCTGAGAGCATAGGAAGACCTACCCCAAAGGAGTACACCATATGTAAAGTGAGTGTGGAACAGTGAATGATAGGAGGCTATTAGTGTTTGGGTGCTCAGAACTTTCTTCAGCCTACGAAGTAGATAAAGTTGGCTGGATAGTTTTTTACACAACATTTCAATGTGATTTTCCTATTTGAGTGAATCGTCGGCAGTTATGCCAAGCAGTTAAACATGATTGTTATTTGTTAAGCGATTATTTGATGATGTAATAATATTTTGGGTTTTATCTCTGTTTAGCTTCAACTTGTTTTGTGAGAACCATTTTTCCACCTTTTCTTCCAGTTCTTGGTTTTCTTTTAATATAACGTCAATATCGGAACTTTGATTTAGCATCGTAGTATCAACTGCATGGCAAATTATTGTTTTAGGAAGCATATAATCGAAAATGTCATTTATATAGATAACAAATAATGTAGGTCTCAGAACAGACCCCTGACGGATGCCATGAAACATAATTTTCGTATCTGACAGAGTACCATACAAATAAACTGCTTGTTTCCTTGAAGAAAGACAAGACATAAAGAAATTTAAAGATGTTCCTCGGATTCCATAGTACTCAAGTTTTTTTGATAAGTCAATTGTGATTGACACAATCAAATGCTTTGCTCAGATCCCACAATATTAAAGAGGTGTGCTCGCCACATTCCACATTGTTTATTGCATTTTGTATTATTTCCATGACTGCATCAGTTGTAGATCTGTTTTCCATGAAGCCATATTGATGGTTGTTAAGTGTACTATATTTATTCATAAAGTATTGATTCATAACGTTCTTTAACTATGATCTCTATTATTTTCCCAAGATGGGTTATAATAGATATAGGTCTGTAATTATCAGATGAATCAGGATCTTCTTTTTTAAAAATAGGTATTACTTTGCTAAATTTTAATACATCTGTAAAAACCCCTTCAAAAAAACAGACATTGATAAGGATAGTTACCCATTCGATGAGATAAGTTAGAGTTTCTCTGATGATAAGGCTTTTTAGATAATATATGGCATGGGAGTTTGAGCTTTTGAGTTTTTTTATGGAGCATACATCTTCATGGGTCACAGGTAACACAAAAAAAGAGCCTCGATGTGTAGGAAGGTTAGAGTAACAATCTGCCATGTTGATATTACAGGATGGCAAGGATTTGATTATATCCTCGGCTATATTGGAGATATAGCTATTTGGGGTGAGATTTGAGTTACCAGTAGAATTTCGTTCATAATTTACTAATGTCCAAATGTCTTTCGATTTGTTTATGGAATTTTCTACAAAATGATCATATGATTCTCTTTTAGCCCGGATAATTACTGTTTCATAATTGCGTTTGTATGTTTAATAGACTATCTCTATCTGAAGAAAGATTTGAAATTAGGATGAACTGTCCACTATTATCGGAAATACTAGGATCTGAGGTCCAGTACAGCACCCACTATCATTTAAATTAGTCATTATATTGTCCAAGCAACTTGAAGATGTAGCAGTCACTCTAGTAGCGGTAGTTAATTTAGGGTTTAGTCCAAAGGATTTGATGACATTCAACCAGGAATTGGAGATGTATTTTTTTTAGAAATGTCGATATTAAAATCACCCATTAATATTATATCTTCATATTTTGCTGATATCATTGCTAGAAGTTCTTCAATTTGATTGAAGAACAGTTCATAGTCTATTAAAAATTCAATACCACAAAACTCTGCATGCTGCTCAATGCAAAGGGTATCCAAATGGAGAGGTTTACATTGTAAGTCTTTATGAACGTGGATGGAAACACCACCATGTTGGAGGGTTTGTCTACAAAGCAACTAGTTAATGTAAAATTATTCAGATTTTAAGCAGTCTACATTGAGCCAATGTTCAGTTAAATAACATCACAACGATCATCATCGAGGTACAGCTGTAGCTGTTCTATTTTATTGGTTAGACACTGGATATTGAGGTGGTAAATTTTCAATGTGCTCTTCTGAAGATTTGTTCTTCAGACAAAAAACTTTTGGTCACCTAAAAACCTCTTCCCTTTTTCGGAAATCGAATCTTTCAAACGCTATTTTCCTAGGCTAAAAGTTTGGATCATAGACTGTTTGTAACTTGTCAGGATTCACTGCAATCATATAAGACTGATAGTCAACACAGGCGTTTGTGAATTCCAATATCTTCACACTTCTATCTAGAGTATTTAATGTTGTTTGTTTGTTTTCTTGTGTTATTTGGTCTGGGACTCTGCTGATGTATAACCAATTATTTTTATCATCATCATCTTTTCTTCGGAAATTTTGGTCACCGTCACCTGTTCCTAGAAGGGTATTTTTGTTTTTTTTTTTTGGTTTTCTTTGCCTCCTAGTGAATGTCACGAAACCTTGGTTCACAGAATTTTCAATATCTTCTGAATTTAAATTAGTATTTTCATTTATAGTTTCCGTTTGATCGTCTTCTTATGCAGTAGAAAGTGTAATTAAATGCTAGAAAAAACTGGTCATCTTTTTTTCTGAGAAGGTAAATGTGCCAAATGTGACACAGATTGATGGAGATACCTAACTTCCCGTGACCTTGAAATGAAAGAGAGATACCGCTAAATTTTTAAATTAGTGTGATTAGTGTGCTAACACAGCCTGTGTTAGGAACCACAGGTAAAACGGAAAGACCTCGTTAATCCTTAGTTCGCACAAGTTTTGACTCTGAGAGCTGTCGTTCGTAGGGGGGCGATAGCCGGTTAATGGAAAAACATTTTTTTTAACAGATTTTGAAAGTTTCCTCATCTCATTCACTACTAGTAATCCAGCTCAGAAAATAACAATCAGTACATACGTGTGAATGCTATTTTCCGGGTTTTTTGGCCGTGGTCTGCAGGCTTTTATACCTGACGCTTCGTCTACTGATGCGAAAGACAACGAAGGCGATGTGGTAACGGTCGTAGTGCCTGAGTTGGTCGCAGTGATCGGGTAGTTGTTTCCAATGAGAATAACGGAGTAGTTTCAGTGTTGGAAACAACTCGATCACCCACTCGTGCACTGCAACCGTTACCACATCACCTTTGATAATGTCTAGGGCAGTAGTAGACGAAATTTCAGGCATAAAAACCTGCAGGCTACAGCTTGGAAAATAGCTTTCACACCGTAATCTCCGGACGTGAAAGTTTACATTCTTCGAATAGTACATATATTTTAAAACCAAACTGAACTTGTTCAAGAAAAACAAACTTGTACAATGTACATTTGAGGACACTGTTGAGATTTTCACAAACCTCAACAAGTTTTATCAGTAGAGAATGCATTTTTCAAGTGTGTTTAATACTAAGTTCTGAGGGTCTACATGTACCCTCCCTACTCTACAGATGCAGATACAAATAAACTTCACACATGTATAATTATCATCTTATTGAAACTGATTTTCCTCAAGAAACGTTATGGAACCAAAATGCAAATATTGTAATATAAAATAAATGCATGGATATTTAATTCTATTTATTGTAATTCAAAATAGCTGATGTCCAATAATGTTCACGAGTGTTTCTGATATGTATAAAAAAACTATGGTATCTACTCATACTTGTGCAAATCTTATATCAATAAAGTTTCTCTGATTCAATATCTAATCAAAAATGGACTGAGATTGTTTATTATAGTGGAATAAGAATAACCAATTGACAAATTAAATGTATATCTCACCTTAATACTTGATGGCATTTCAATTGGGAATCTACTGCTGATGATGTGGAAAGATTGATCAGAAGGTATAATAGACATGCAGATTCTGCACATCCTATCTGGCATATTTCTATTTGGGAAGAGCACCTTTTTATTAATGTAGCAATTGTTATCAATATTCACAACATCTTGGGGCTAAAACAAAAAACAAATAAACTGTCCCAACATTTTTATACAACATATTCAAAATTTTCAAATCACAAGAGAATTTAGTGGAATTTAAAAACTTTACATCATGTATCAAACAAAGCTTTTCTTTACCTTTCGCAAATTCAAAAATATCTAATGGTTGCTCATAAGCCTGCAGTTGTAAATAAAATACATTCTATGAAAGAAGACAATTTTTTGGAAAAACCGTAGTTTCTTGATAATTCAGTTCTATTAGATGGCTAGTGAGGACCCATCTGCCGATAAAATTTGAAGGGTCTAATTTTCCCCCTGAAGTACAAGCAAATCCAAATAAACCTTTTTTGATTGGATGTTTTTGTAGAAGAACATATTTCATCAACATCTTCGGAACTGTTAATAGTTCAAGTTTAAAATGTGGTTGTTAATAAAAAAGTTCATTTTTTATAGAAGTCACCGTTTTTCAATCATTCAGGATTCAAATCATAACATTCATATATATCATAAAGTAAATAGGCAGTCATAGTTTCTCAGAATGGCCGTCTGGTCACCTGATATGACTTCAATAAATTATTGTTGTAGTGGCGAATGAAATCTATAAGATCTATGAATTCTATTCTAGAACTCATAAAAAGAATCGAAGGTGCTTGCAATGAAATTATCCCATAAACATTCCATAATGTAAGAAATGGATTCGTGAACAGAATTCATTATTGTCAAGAGAATGGTAAACATGGTGAATGGCCAACAAATGGTAAAATTATATTTACCGTTTATTGGCAGAATCTGGAGACGAATATAAAACTGATAATTACTCAAGAACTGCTGGTTTGATTTACTAAAATAAACCGTTTATACATAGAGAATTGAAAGTTCTATCAAACTATACATCACAATTTCCTCCTTTCATGAATATGACAAGTTGGTAGCCTCCTTTCGGCGACGAGTGACGGCACAAATTAAGCATACTGAAAGCTTTCAAAATCAAAATTCCATACTGAAGTTAGAATGGAACTTAGATATACTAACTGAAATATTCAAATGTGCTACAAATAATTTTTGCAATTCTCCAAAGCTCAATTGCAATTATCAGAAAAAGTACCAAATATCAGTTTACGTGTACGTTTTTAGAAAATTAACATAATTAAATTCGCACTGACACATTCGTTTATCTTATATACGTGAGTTCGTGTTTCAAGCTTGTACCTGCATAAACGAAATATTTTTTTACAAGTAGTTATTTCTAATGATGTAGCCCAGGAAGTACAATATCTTAGAGATATGTTCCATTTAATTGTAACAGATAAAGTAGCCGACTCTAGCAATATGGTTAGATTAAAAGAACAAAAAAAACGTTAAGCAAAATAAGATGAGCTACTTTTCCACAAAAATTAACAATGTCAATAACAGAACTAAAGAAACCTGGAATATAATGAACATCGAGTTGGGAAGAAATAAAAGATCTTGAACTGAAAATATTACACTCAATCATAAGTCATCATAAGTCAGTTAATGTTGGAGACCCTCCTGTTATAACAGAACTATTTACTCATCATTTTGCAAATTCTGCCGAGACAGCAATTTCTAGTTACTTAGGTCAAAATCTAACATTACCTTGTACAGTCAGTACAAACATTAATATACCAACTACTGAATATGAAATTCACGCTGCATTGAGATTAATGAAAAATAAAAATTCGAGTGGATCAGATGATCTTACAATAATAGTTGTTAAATCGACAAATTTCTTTACTCTGTTCACTCTCAAAACTGTATGAGAAAGTGGTGGCTAGTAGTAAATTATTTAGAGTTCAATAACTTCAACTGTCTTAATAACATATACTCTGAAATTGATGCCAATAACCTTGTAATACATATATTTTTTGATCTCTTTCAATACATTTTCTATGTATAAAGTTAGTTAGGTTAGGTTTTGACTGAAACATAAGGAGTTCCTCAGGGATCAGTATTGCCACCTTCCCTTTTTGTGATATTCGTTAATGATCTATCGCAATATATTGATAATTGTTTGATAACTATGTTTGCAGATGATACCACAATGACAATTACTGGAGCCACATTAGAAGTTAAACTAACATAGTTGAAAGAGGTCATTGATAGATTTACTTCATGGAGCCAACACAATTATTCAATATTGCCTCAATGAAATTTTATAATAGAAAAAACAACATTTCGGAGGAAATTGACCTTACCGATGAAATAACGATGTCACGTGACGTAAAATTTCTAGGAAACATATTAGATGAATCTCTAAATTGGGATTTACATATTGATAGTGTATGCAAGAAACTCATTTCAGCTTTTTTGCAATAAAACAAATGAAATTGTGTGGATACACATAGCCTTTTAACCATATACTTTGCAATGGCATATCTACATATTTCTCTAAATATCATGGGGATGCAGTAGAGATTTTAATAGAATATTTTTTACACAGAAACGTATCATGAAATTAATTTTTGATAGGGACTATCGTGACAGCTGTAAACTTATACTCATTGGGAGAAACTTGTTATCATTTCCATATACCGGGTGTCCCACATTTTATGTGACAGGCAATATCTGGTTTATTAAAAGAGATACACAAAAATGTTTCATACAAAAGTTTTAGGAGTTCATGAGAGCTATATTTTGATATAATTTTTAAATATACAGGGTGTTTGGTGTAGGTGCTACAGAATTCGTGATAGGTATTAAATTTTAAAATTCAAACAATGAATGTTGATGTATTGGGTAGAAGGAGGATACGTAGGGTGTACCTCAACGAATTTCAAATTGCTAGAGCAGTGGCATTGATCGAAGTAGGGTATTCAAGGCGTCGTGTAGCCCAAATGCTTGATGTGACTCATTCTGCGGTTTCCAGAGCTTGGAATCGCTAGCAAATTTACGGCATAGTAAAAAGAGCCCCTTATCCCAATCGACAAAGGGCAACAACCCGCAGAGAAGATCGTTTGCTTTGGGCAATTAGGGGTCGCACCGATGCTGCTAGAAAACTGCAAAATCGCCTTATAGAAGCTACGGGAACGCGAATTTCGAACCAAACGATACGAAACCGACTTCACGAAGTATAACTCCATGCAAGACGACCAGCTAGAGCCCCTAGATTAACTCCAGCTCATCGAACGCTATTTGGATGACTGTGTGCAAGAAATTGTTTCATTTGGAGGTGGATCGATAATGGTATGGGCTGGTATAACTTTGACAGGACACACGGACCTTGCTTGCAGTATTTCGGGAAGGGACTTTAACGGCTGTCCGTTACATAGAGGAGATATTGGAACCTCATATCGTCTCATTTGCCCAAAATATGGGCGCTGTGTTCATTTTACAACAAGATAATGCCAGGCCACACGTAGCCAGGGTCCTGAGAAATTTTCTACAGGAGCACAATATTAATGTCATGAGATGGCCAGCTAAACCCTATTGATCAGTTCTGGGATGAACTGGAAAGACGTTTGAAGGATCATCAACCCTTCCAAAATCTGAATCAACTTGCAGATGCTCTTTTGACGATTTACGAGCAGTTACCACAACAAATAATTAGAAATTTGGTGGAACGCATGCCTCGTCGTTGTGCCGAACTTCTTAGAGCCAGGGGTGGACGTACTTACTATTAATGTACATTTTTCTTATTTTTTTAATACATATTTTTTTTACTTTGCATTTTAAGGACATGTCTCTACATTCATTTTGAGTAGTTTATTATATGACCCGCTAAAAATTTAGTATATGGTTGCCGACTATTACAGCATGCTTATTTGTGAAGCTTCATTTTCAAGTATGTTATATGCTGGTACCAAGACAAATACCTGAGAACTATCATAATATCAGAAGTCTCCCTGGATAGCTGATCAGGAATTTGAAGATTTGTTTTCGACTCATTAAACACCAAATAATTATTTTTAAACAACAAACAAATTTGCATTTACTATCATATCTGGAAATTTCTTCCCACTGGCTAATAGATTTTCTATCATCAGTGAAATTAATTATATATTGTTTTACTTGAGTATTATTCAAATCATATAGTGCATGCCAGTTAAAACATTTCTTGACAGCCACCCCCTCCCTATCGCAACCTACAAAAATTTCAAATGGAAATAAAAGTCAAGTAACAACTTATCTGAAAGGTTTTTCAAATCTGTATCCAACCCTTTAACATTTTTGACATAATAAAGATAATCAACGTCAGAAAAAATGAATTACTTTTCAAAATTTGTATGTAATTTCGAATTAGAAAGTGAAACTGAACAGAAATTTTTATTTACATTATCAAATGAGCACTAATAACTTGCTTACAATGGTATAAACGAGCTTCTATTTCCTCCTTTACATTCTGAAGAATATCAGTTAATAGCATCTTGTAATTTTTCCCATAAATTATCTATGGTAGTTGTCATAAAGACGATTATTGTAACACTATATAGATTACTTTTAGGTGTGAAATAGTTGTTTTCAACTAATCTAAATTGGGAAAAAACGCGGAAAAAAACGTGAATTTTTTAGCAGAATTTTTATGCTTCTTATGTGGAGAGAATATTTCCTCTAAAAAAATTAAGTGAATCAAAACTCATCGCTATTTTGGTATAAAGTGTTGAAAAAAATGCATGATCTGGAAAATGTGAAAATCATTTGTAATCGGAACAATAATGGTGAAAACTGGAAAGTTTTGACTAAAGAAAATAAATCCGCTGAAGATAGCTTCATTGGTGCTTCTTATTATAAATCCACAGGTGAATTGGTGAATCTTGGTGAATTATATGAGGAATAAGAAAAAAATTATGAGCCGTCACGGGACGCCTGGCAGATGTGAAACATCGAAATTATATTGTACAAGTGATATACATATACAGGGCTATTCAAATTCGTTTCTGTACTTGGGGATCTCGTAAACGATAAGAGATAGAGTGTCGTTTTAATTCTGGCAAAGTTGTGTATTTTAGAGACCTATTCAATGATGTAAAGAAATCGAATAAAGCTCTTTTGGT